GTCACTGGTCCTCAGCTATCCCACAGTGCACCACACCAGCACTCGCTCTACCCCAGGTAGGGCTTCTGGAGTCAGCAGAGGTCACTGGTCCTCAGGTATCCCACAGTGCAACAAACCAGCGCTCGCTCTACCCCAGGTAAATTAATTTCAAGATTTAATTTATTACTTTGCATAGTTACTAAACACATCTGACAATACAGCACAGCACCATAACTGCTGACTTCAAATTCAAAATTAATTTTCCTTCAAATTAACTGCTTGTTAACTTAAACCCTCACCCCATTTGTCAAGGGTGCTGGGAGGCTTTTCTTGTCCTCCTGAGACCTGACAGAAGCTGGTGACGTCATGCTGTAAGAACCGTTAGTTGGACTAACATTGGGGCTGTAACAGCAGCCAGACAGCCCTGCGATTGCAATTCTGAGACTGATGAGCAGCTCATAACAATGATCATTTCTGACCTCTGTCCCTACAGTATATGGCTATCTGGTAGATGGAGAAATCTTCCCCTGTGTTATGAAAGACTATTCAAGGGCCCAGCAGGTTAATCATTCTGCATCTCGCTGTGTGGTTTAGGTAAGGCAACACCCCTCCTGAAGGAAGAGGCTCCAAATGACTATGATGACGTTTTCCCTTCCAGCCAGGGTCCAGATGTGGTGTCAGGTGAGACATTCCCAGCTAGAATTCCGGCAGATCCGTATGTGATCAGGCGTGACTGCCCTGCTCTGCCACTCACAGGGAGACTATATTGATCCGGTGCTCCTGTAGTGCCTGAGGTCTTAAAAGGCAGCACAGTGGTTGCTATCACAGCCACTGTCCACTACATTCATACAAATTAGGGTTTGTCAAAAAAATCGGGAGTGGGACATAAAATATTTTAAATAAATGAATGGTAAAAAATGATTTGGGATTTTTAAATGTATTTTATATCTTAGTCCAGCCATGTTGTTGAAGCCGATACCCTGGCTTCCATCAAGACACAGCTGGATGAGATCCTCCATTTAGGATAGGAGACTTCTTTACACAAAGGGTGGTGGGAGTGTGGAACAGGTTTGCCAGCCGTGTTGTTGAAGTCGTTATCTTGGCTTCTTTCAGGAAAGGGCTGGATCTGGGATCTAGGCATCACTTAGCTACTAATTACCAAAGTGGGCTGGATGGGCTCTCACGTGTAACTGTTCTTGAGCCATTAAATGTTCAAGCATGAACTCTTAGGGTTGGGTTTCCAAATGCTTTAAATCAATAGTCTACATGTTCTGTGTTCTGTACGTCTTCACACATGATCTGTAATTGTAGCTGGAAACTCTGACACTGTCACGTAAAGCAGTTATTGTACGTCTGTGCCCGAAATCAGAGCATGTGTATGTCCAGCAGGCACTGGCCTCACTGCCCCTGGCGTGGAGAGTGTCCGGACCGCAATGCTGTGGGACGAAGACATTCCGGCTCTTGACAGGACGGACTACGACGACGTCGGGGTGCAGGCCTCTGCCAGGGGCCGAGCGCCGTGAGAAACAGTCAGATACCTTCAAGCGTTCATGACGGGATTCCATCTAATTTGCTTTGCTATCCTGTGCGCACGCTTGCGTTGTCATGTCCTGCAGCCCGAGAAGCTTGAGCAGACCCAAGAGAAAATTCCCACCCGCCGCCCGGGGTGTACCCCTGTCTGTGCTCCTTCCGCGATCACAAGGGGGCATCCCACATTGATGAGCACAGAGCGCATCTCAAGTATCAGCTCTTAGCAGTCATGGCAGAATTGCTATTATCTGTTTCTATATTCTAAACCCTGATGCTTTCCGGGAAGATTTGGAAGGTCTTGGCTCTCAAGCTGGCCTCAGGGAGACCTGCTCTGGAAAGTATGATCTCCCTTTTGTCACTCGTTCTTTTTTTAACGTCATGAAAACACGAACAGCTCCTTGCCCAAAGCTGTGCAGAGCAAAAAGTTTGAATGTTTGAAATGATCAGATATGTAAGAAAGATATCGCCCTGTCCACAGTAGACCCCCTGGGGGCAAAATCATGTTTCTCCCTCAAAATCTTTCAGATATTTCAACTAGGGAAGGGAGAATTCTTGTCAAAATCGACACTTGAGGAATGCAACACTCTTGTACACATTACATTATGACTCAGCGAATGTTTTTACATATGATATAATTGCAGGATGCAATACACTTAAACATACTGCTGGAGCTCAGATCCCCTTATTACAGGCTGCCAAACAGTGGTAGAGAAACCTCTGAGGGGACCAGATATAGGTGTTCAAATTCCCCATAGGAAAAGGCAAAGTTAGCCCAGTGAAATCAGTGAGACAGGAACCAGAAGACAGAATGTAAACTGCATGAAAGTGCATTTTAAATTTTTTTTTCAGCTGGATAAGATCTTCAGGTCAATTAACAACCTATCAAATGAACTAGATGGGCTGAACGGTTTACACCATTCAGTTGCACTTTTAAGCATATGTGGTTGCACCTCGTAGCTGGGCAATTTGTTATTTTCCATAAAGAATCTAAAAGACATGCCAGAATGTCTTCATTGAAATGTGGCTAAAACGTGAAGAAGATCTTTTGATCTTGGCCATCTGTTTTTCTGACGCAGTCAGCATTCTTGTACAGCAGGGTCTGAGATCACTGTTCCTAACGTTCCTAAGGTTGAGCTCTCACGAAGGTTTTGCTGTAAGGGAGAGCTCTTGACCTAGGTGTGATTGTACAAGGACACTACTGCCTAATACTAATACCTGGAAGGGCAGAATGTTTTTAATGCAGAATGTATCACATTGTATGTGTGAAAAAGAAAGAGGGGGTGTAGATACAAAATAATAAGTCCTCTTCTCAGATTAAAGGAGGAGTGAGAGGGGTCTAATGGTGCTGACTACACTCAAATGTCTTTCTCAGACTAGGAAAAATCCCCCAAAACAGAGGTATTTAACATTTGAAATACAATTGGATATCCTCCAGATTCCTAGAAACATAATGGAGCTGTTTATTTATTTTTTTAAATCAGCATTGCCATCAAAACAGCCTGTCGCTGGTTTAGTCTGGTCTAGGTTCATTTTCTTTTACACAGATTCATATCCTGATGTTTGAGTCCCTGTACCTCTGTTAGACTGACGCTTTTATTCCACACTGGGAAGGGTGGTAGGGCTCCACTTCTGAAAAGGAAAAATGACCAATATCAAAATAAGGGATCCCCAACCCTGGTCCTTATTCTTCTAAGTCACCCTAAATCACCTATTTATAGATCAGGAAGAGTTATTTCAGAAATTGATCAATAAAGTAATGTTTTGATGAAGGGAACACTGGTCCTTGAGACCTGAAGGATATTCTGATTTTTGTTCCAGATGATGTGTAAGCGAACTTCATTTAACCCCCCGGTAAAATTGTTGCAGATAATTAAACGCCATCTGTAAAACTGTAAAAGGGTTTGTTGTAAACTGATATAAAGCATCCATCACAAGTTTAATGTTGTTCTGATTCTAAACAGAACCCTTTACTCAGATGAATATTGTCAAATTGAAGTCACTTTGCGTCTGTGAAAGCAAACGATTTTATTGTCTACATTGAGAACGGTAATAGGTTTCCAGTTCTGGTAAAGAATTACAGATTTAGGAGTTACAGTGATTTACAGATTTAGGAGTTACAGATTTAGGAGTTACAGTGATAGGAACATTGGAGAGCTCCTGACTCCGGGTATATCGTGTCACAAGAAAATACATAATATATAGCCATCTCAGAGAATGACACAAAATTCAATTTCCTCTTGCTTTGCCTTATGGAACAGCTTTGATAATCCAATAACAAGGGGATCTATATTCATGTGTGATACATTTGCCACACTATCTGTAAAACAATTTGTGACCAATTGATTGATTTCAGACAAGCACAGACACATGTTAAAGATCTATGTGTGTCCTGAATGTACTCTGTCAGCTCGTGCATATTTTTAATTTTTAATTTTACTTGCAATTTTGCTGTTCTCCAAATAACACAATAAAATATGCTCATTGCATTCACTCTGTTGTACTCCCTTCACTTTTTGGCAAATAAGAGGAAAATAGAAATGATGAGGCACTGTTCTTAGTAAGGAAAAATATCAGAAAAATGATTTATGCAGTACCATTCAGAACTCTAAAACCTCCTACACAGACAAGTGAGAAAATACAGATACAGTACTTCACTTTAATCCCCAGATTCACTCAGCTTTTTCTATCCCTGAACAGATAACTATTTCCTCTTTGGCAGTATATTACAGATATGATGAGTGGATTATATACATCAATGGAGGGGACATGCATGTGAAATCCATCAGTTTCGCTACAAACACCCTTGTGCAGGCAGGTCGAATGTCAGTGCCAGACCACAGAGAGCAAGAATAAGATACTAACAGGAAGACAGTGCAGGTGTGAAACTTGACTGTTACCTCAGGAGCTGCAATTAGCTGCTAGTGCCTTCAGTGTCTGTGGGCATCCAGGTTCAGAGACCCTGCTCACAGCGAGGCACAAGAGCTGCCTTTAAAGCATGGAAACAAAGCCCTTAAAAACCTAGACTGAGTTTGAAGACAAACTCTCCTTTCTGAACCCGAGAGAATGAGTGCAATCATGTAAATAACCAGGCTAAGGCGAACAAGACCAATGGGCATCACAATCACACAACTCCAGTCCTCAAGGGTCACTGTCCAGCAGGTTTTAATCTCTGGTTTCTTAAGAACAAGGAAAGGCTGCAATTTTTCCCAATAAGCAGTTAAGGAGAATCCAGTTAGGTCATTAAAGGTTAGGGTGAAAGGAAAACCAAAAAACCTCCTAGCTCCCCAGGATTATGACTTCCCTGCAGGAAACCATAACAAAAGGTAACGAGGGTGCTAGGATATAGCATACAAATTGAAATCAAGGAATATTTGAATTGCATAATGCACTAGTAAAGTCTACTTTATACAATGCCACATTATTGCCACATTATACAAAATAATTTAATACTATGCAAGCAGTCCAGATGAGAGAAACCATATACATTACTGAATATACAGAACTGAGTCTCTTCAGTCTGAAGGGAGTGTCCTACACTGACAGGCTGAAGGAACTGAGTCTCTTTAGTTACAAGAGTGTGCCCTACACGTGCAACAGGCAGAAGGAACTGAATATTTGAACAGAGATAAATAAGAGAGGACCTGATACAAGTATTCGAGTTGACCCAGTGGATTTCTTTGAAATGAACATCCAACCATTTTCTAAACTTGTGTGTGTGGGGGGGTGGGGGGTGGAGTCTAACGTGGCAAGAAATGGGTGCAAGCTGGTGATGACTCTGGACAGGATGCCAGTCCATCACAGGTACAGGCACCCACTCACACTAGAGCCAATTTTACAAGACAGCTAAGCTATCAGTGTGTCACTGGACTGTGAGAAGAAACCTTAGAACACTGAAAGGCCATCCCAGGACCTGAGCCCAAGACCCCAGCGCTGTGAGGCAACAACACTAACCACTGTGCCGGTAAGTACCACCGGTACCACCCTCTGAATGAACAATGAAACACAAAACAAACTTTGTTTGGAACAAGTCACCCAACCATGTAGCTGAAACCGATCTTTACACATTTTCAGAAAAACAGCTGGATGAGATAAGCATTTGTTAACTACGATTTGGTAATTAGCTACTAAGTACTCAACTGGCTAGCTGGGCTGAATGGCCTCCCGTCATTTGTGAGCTGTCCTACAGTATGTTCTTAAAATCTGAGTATCTCTGAGACCTGCTGAAGCATGGGTTCAATATTTTGATTCATTTATTTTGTGTTATGGGATACACATATTTTATTTGCAAACTTTCTAAGGATTTTTTTATTTAAAAAAAATTAAATCTATTGAACCAGAAAGTTCAGGTCTGAAGCTTGTAGATGCCTCCAGTCCTTTCTTTAATTTTACAGATCGCAGCACGTCAGTGAAATAAAGATTCTCTTTCTGTTCTGTGTCTTCCGTATCGAGCGGGCTGTCTGCAGGGCGGACCCTGCAGGTGGAGGGAGGTGTCCTGAGAGGAAGCCATGATGCCGTTGCCGATATATATGGAGAAAATGGAAACGGGCCTGTTTGATTTGTCGGCGTGCTTGTCTGGGGGTTTCCTGCAGACGATCCGAAAAGGCAAGGCTGGGTGTGATTGGTGATGGATGGGAGAGGGCTGTGCTATAGTGGGGTCCTGGGCGCAGAGTCTCAGCTCAGTTGCCCCGTGGGCTCGGGTGTGAAGTCAGGGGTCTCGGCTGCAGTCAGGGGAGGGCTGGTCCGTCCTGACCATGATGGAGAGCCGCCTGTTCGTCTTCGCTCTCGCTGTCCTGGCGCTGCCCACCTCAGCCGGTAAGTACCATAGTCTTCCTCCTCTCCAGGCACTTAGGGACTTGGAGATACTTTATTAAATAATATATATAGTTGTAATATCGTCGCTCTGTTCTGCCACGAAGCTTGTCCTCACTCGTCATAATTACAATGCTGCCCTCATTCTCCACTTCTGCAAGGTCACAATATGTGCTACTTGAAGACATCCTTTCTTTTCAAATTATAAAAAATTCATAGGGTTTCCAAATCTTGGGTCTCGTAGGATAAGGACAACACCAAGCAAGGAGAGGTAATGAACTCAGAGTCAGGCACCGAGACGTGTGCAGACGGGCTTTTGTAAGGCATAGGGGGACAATTATAAGGTTTCCAGCAAATATTTGTACCCCAGATTTTATATACTGTATATTGCTGGGAATAGGGGTGCATTTTGTTCACAAAATAATTTCGAGACATGTGGGATACCTGCACTTGTGAGTTCATGCACAATAAACACACAAACAGTACAGGGGTTCTGGGAATATAAGAGTTGTGTTGGTTGATTTGGGAATTTTTAATGAAGTTAATTGACAGGGGAGGCGAGTGTTGTTAATTTATTAATTGCTGATGAATTATGAATTCTCCTGAACCCAGACTGGAAATGTAGCAGTGCTCTCCCACGTTCGGTGGCAGCTCTTGAAGCCTTTTAAGAATATTTCCCCATGAAACTACGAATTTCAGATATTGGATTGTCACTCAAAACGAGCCAAAAAGTATTAAAATCTTTTGGAATCTGCAGGAGTTCCAGCTGCTTGTGAGAAGATGTATACAGTTATCCCATTAGTCCCTGCTCATAGAAAAAACTGTGAAATTCAGATTTGTGACTTAAAATCACTACAGTAGCTGTTTGGAGTTTATTTTTTGCCATTAATGTGTTTTTTAGGTCATACAGATGTCAGGATTTTAGTGTTTTTGTGAGAGAAGTTTAATTTGTGGGCAAGATTTTATTTTTTAACCATTAATGTTTATGGACATTTTATGACTGAAATTAAAAATGGATTTCAATGTCAATTAAAGCCTTTAATTCATGTGATGTGGTGTGATAACAAAAAAATCCTACATTTAAAAAAGTAAATAATTATACAAATTAAACCATTTAAACATTAAGAAGAAAAAATTACAACAAAATAATAATGTAGAGTGCTTGACCCGTTATAAATATACTCATTATTTCCCATTATGAATTACTCCAGTTATTGTGCTTTCAAGTACAAAAATCACTGTTTAATTTGATTTAATTAACTGATTAAAATGTATTTTGGTCTAAAGTATTGCCACGGTCCAGTAAAATACAGTAGTGAGGGCTATAAACAGTACTATTAGATATATATATCTAATATTATATATTATATATTACTGTGCTTTGCCTACTGTAATATAAAATAAAAATAAAAATAAAGTTTCTTCTTCTTCTTCTTCTTCTTCTTCTTATTATTATTCTTCTTCTTCTTCTTATTATTATTATTATTATATATTACAGTAGGCAAAGCACAGCTGGAGCTCTTCAGTAGTGAAACTACCCCAGCCGCAGTTTAAAACTAATTGCAGGTCACTTCTTGGGTAGCTTTTACAATTTTCACAAGAAGGATGTTTATAAAGGGCACTGTTGTTAGCATTGCTGCCTCACAGCACTAGGGAGCCAGGTTCAATTCTTGGGGTGTTTCTGCACGTGGAGTTTGCATGTTCTCTCCATGATCTTGTGGGAAATTGGCCCCGGTGTCTGTCTGTCTGTCTGTCTGTCTGCCATGCAGAGTGTACCCTGCCTTGTGCCTGTTGCTTGCTGGGATAAGTTCCTGCTCCCCTGCCAGCCTGTATTAGACAAAGCGACTAGAAAATGGATGGATATATCTAAACAGTACATTTTTCAGTTGACAATTCACTGGTGCACATTCAGGTGTCCGTTGTCTGCAGAAATAATGAATTATAGCAAATACTGTATGTGAAGATTGAATATATGAAGATATTCAGTTATTGGTCTGTAGCAAATTCTTAAATATTAATTTCAAGTACAGGGCTGGTACAATTCTAGTTCATGGCTCTATCAAATGAAATAGCAATCAGTAGCCCTCCAGGACTCCAGAGGAACAGTGACCTGCGCTTGATATATGATCTATTTAAGATTAAGGATGTTAAATATTAGCCCAGAGAACCCCTGGTCCCTGTCCTGGAGAAGGCGCTGTGTCTCCAGCAGGGTGTCCAGTACCAG